ATATATATATATATGTATATTATGAATGTTTATACGTATGTCTTAGATGTTCACAATACATGGGAAAATGACACATACCAACTTCAGGATAGTGGTTACCTCAGGGAGAGAATGAGAAGGATGGGAACAGGGAGGTAGGGCTTTAATTGTATTATGTGACCATATGTATGTCCCTTAAAAAAAAAAAAAAACACACAACAGGGACAAGATCTAAAAGAAATACTGCAAAAGCTAATATCTGAAGGATGAATATTTTAAATATTATTCTGTATAATTTTATATGTTTAAAATGTTTAAGATAGTGCTACTGTAAAATGAAATCCTAAAATCTTATCAGTGATTATGTATAGCAATGATAATACCCTGCAGTTGTCTCATTGTCAACCTAGGAAAAGTATCAACCTTCCTAAAATTAGGTAATATGTACTATTGTTGTTGTTGTTGTTAATTGCCATTGAGTCGGCCCCGACTCATAGTGACCCCTCCTTGGGTTTCCAAGGCAGTATCACTACGAAAGTAGGATTGCCCAACCTTCCTTCTGAGGAGTGGCTGGTGGGTTTGAACCGCCAGCCTTCTGGTTAGCAGTCAAGTGCCTTAGGCACTATGCTACCAGAGCTCCCATATGTACTGTTAGTCCACAGTAAATATGGACTAATAGAAAAGGTAAACTTTTAGAAAGTTTAGAAATAGAAAAAGGTAAACTGTTAGGGAAGGTAGACTTCATTCCTGTCCTGGTACAATTAAGTTTCTCAGATAATGTAATTATTGGACATACATAATACAGGAAAAATTGAGATCCTAGAGTAGCCTATTCCCTAACCAAACCTCTAAGGAGGTGGTGGCACGATAGTTAAACTCTCAGCTGCTAACTGTAAGTTCAGTGTTTGAACCTACCAGCAGCTCCATGGGAGAAAAGTCATGCACAGCTGTAAAGATGTGCCTTGGAAACCCAGTGGGACAGTCCTCCTCTGTCTGTAGGGTCGCAGTGAGTCTGAATCAACTCGACAGCACACAACAACGAAACCCCTATTTGCAGTGGTTCTGTGCCCTCCATCCCAGAGAAGTATGAACTGTCTTTCAGTAGTTCCTTGATTACTTATGGGCCAGAAAGTTGCAGAGATTCTCTTAGACTGTTTTAGTATGATCCTTAGTTTTCATCTGCATGACAGGAGTAACTCCATTTCAAACATGGATTTGTCAGCAAGGGAGGAGAGTTGGGATGTAGTTGAAAAGATTTTAATTTGATTCCATTGTTTTTTCTTTAATATTTTAATGATAATTACCTTTCAAAGTCAAATTTGCAAAAAATAATTCATCTTAATGCTTACCATCCCAGAGCACACATGATTTAAAGTGTAAACTATGTTATTTCTTATGTTATGGTAAACTAGGCTTTTTTTCATGTGGGAAAACAATCCCTTATTTTCCTTATGTAAATGAGCATCTTAATTACCTCTTTAGGAACAAAAGAATTTTTTTAAAAAAATTTTATTGTGATTTGGATGAAAGTTTACAGAGCAAACTCATTTTCCATATAGCATTTCATACACATTTTGTTTCATGACATTGACTGCATTTCCCCACAGTATAACAGCTTTCTTCCCATTTCCTCCACGTGGTTACTTCTCTGTGTCCTTCCCTCCCATGTACTCCTGTGCCACCCACCCCCCTTGCCCAAGCAAACACTGCCCTTCTGTTCTCCCACGATTGATCAATTGATCGCTCCAAGGAATGTGTCTATCTGATGTAAATGAGGAACAAAAGAATTTGATTTGAAGGTATGATGTAAAAAAAAGAAAAAAGAAATCATGACCATTTCACTCCTTAACTATATTGAACTTTTCTATAACATTAGAGTACCAAACCAAACTCACTGCCATGAAGTCAGTTCTGACTCATAGCGACCTCTCTTTGGGTTTCCAAGGCAGTATCACTACGGAAGTAGATTGCCCAACCTTCCTTTCAAGGGGTGGCTGGTGGGTTTGAACTGCCAACCTTCTGGTTAGTAGTTGAATGCCTTAGGCACTATGCCACTAGAGCTCCTTAACATTAGAGTAATGACTGCTATAAGGTTCAAACTAGCAGGATCCAGCAACTGTTAATGTAGCTAGACTTGTTGAGCACTTTACCCTTGTATTTGGGTGCTTCATGGAAATTAACATGATAAAATAAGAAGGTATTCAGTTATTTTCATTCTATTCTAGAATATTTATTTTTTGCTGCAAAAATTACTGATCATCAAAAGTTAACATATTAAAGTATTTCTTTCCTGAGAGAAAACCAATATTGAATTATACTGATAATGTCTCTATTTGTTCAATAAATTGTCAGATAAAATAATATAACTTGAATGCTCACAGAAACTTTTTAAACTTGCTTTTACATAAACAGCCTTCATTTTAGCACAAATTAGTTCATTATTGGCTTTATCCTGCCCACATATTTCCTCATTTTGCTAAAATAGTTATGGAACAAAATTATTTAAGTTAATTTTCTCTTCCTTTACTCCCACCTTTTATGGCAGTTAGTCTTATATGAAAATGTTGATGCATTTACATTTACATAAAGGAAACAAATTAGGTCCTGATTCAGAACCTGTGTAAAGCAAGCCATGTCAGAATAAATAATCTACATACATGAAGTCAACTTCCTGGCCTTAATATGAGTGGTATTAAGATATTAAATAATGATGTATAATATCTGGTGCCTGTGGTCTTATAGGCATTTGAAAAATTAGTTCTTTCTCCTCTTTCTACCTTTCACACCTTCCTCCCATCTTTAAGAAGATAATGTCCCCTTTTGGCCAATGATGAGTATTCAAAAAGGCCAATGTAAGATGGCAGGGCAAATGTATTTGCTACATCATGATGTTCTGACTCTCAATTCAGTGTGAGTACTTTCACCTGCTGCTATTTTGTCCACTTCAGGAAACTTCTATGGAACTCCCAAGCCTCCAGCAGAGCCCAGCCCTTTCCAGCCAGATCCGGTTGATCAGGTCCTCTTTGATAATGAGTTTGACACAGAATCCCAAAGGAAACGAACTACGTCTGTCAGCAAGATGGAAAGAATGGACAGCTCTCTTCCTGAAGAGGAAGAAGACGAAGACAAGGAAGCTGTTAATGGCAGTGGAAATTCAGGTTTGTAAATAAATGGACAGCTTCTAACCAATCTTCTAGGATGACTTTCCCATGTCATTGAATTGGAAATAGTAAATTTTTTCTCCAAGAGTGTAGAGCACAGTGATAGGATTCTAAATTTGTGAAAAGATGTGTGTAGAGTAAAGTATACCTCTGTAGACCATCCTGTAAGCTGAAGTGAATTGTTAAAAGTAAGAATTTTGATAAATTACAAGCTATCATTAATTATAATATAATATGCCTTTACCCCACTGTCTGAAAGATGTATAAAAGATTCATTTTTGTTCCTGGGTAATGGGAGTCTTCTTGGACCAATCCCTATTTTGCAGGATATGAGGAAAATTTATATACTTTCAGATAATATAGTCATCAACCAAAACAAAGTACAGAGAGTTTAGCAATATCGCAATAAAAATTAACTGAGGTATTTGTTAGCAGTATTTTGAGTTTAAATTCTGAATCCACTCAAAGCAGGCTTCCAATTTAAAAGTTAAGTGCTTATATTTTTCATTAAATGCTAAACCAACAGAATTTCAATGGTGGAAGATTTCTGCTTTTGAGTGCCCCTAAATAATGTATTGGTTGCTTAGAAGGTTCTTATGCTTATAATTGAGAATATAAATAGGAAACCATAGAATCACAGCAAAACTAATTACAGTGATATTTATTGTAATAATTCCACTGAAAACACTAGAATATAAACTTCCTAAGTGTTGGAATTTTTGCTTGTTTTGTTCATTGTTGTATCTCTAGCATCAGAAACTATACCGGGGTCATAGTAGTAACTAAGTAATGTTTAATGGGTTGTTCTATAAATGAGTGAATTTGGTTGTATTCCCAAATTTGCAGACCCTATTACCATGTTATTTTCCCAAACATCCTGTTCTTTTCCTTTATCAGACTGAAAAGTCTGAGTAAGTAGATTTTAAGGAAGAAGTATAGTTTTCTAGCTCTTTTCTGTCATTTGTCACTGGATCTCTATCACAGTAATAATACAGGTACTTGTTGAACAGGTGAATGAATTAGGAGTTCTGTTTGTGAAGTCTTGGAACATTAAATATGACTGTACATAAATGAAACTACAAGAACATTCCAGATAAAAATAATACATTCTTTGATTTATTTAGACTATTGCCTCCTATTAACAATGATGATCTAATAATGATTGTATTTGAAATTATAGAAAAAGTGTGTTTAATTCAGTTATTTAGCAAATATTTACTGAGCACTTGCTAAGCTACTAGTGCTAGACAGGCATTGTTCTAGGTGCTGAAAATACATCAGGGAACAAAGATAAAGACCTCTGTCATGGAGCTTACTTTCTAATGGAAGAGACAGAAACTATCCAATCTAAATAAATAACACATGTATTATTTATTTGTAGGTTAGATGATGCTGAAGAGAAAAATAAACTAGAGGAGGAGGATAAGAAGTGGTGGTAGCCAAGGCAGGGGTGGTTTACAATTTTAGATACAGTGGCATGGAAGACCTCACTGAGAAGGGAATTCTGGAAAAACTGAGGGAGTAAGCCCAAAGTATCTGGGAGAAGAACCTTCTAGCTAAAAGGAACTGTGCATATAAGTACTCTGAGAGGGAAGCATGTCTGGAATGAGACAACAGCAGTAGAGCTAGCGTGGTTGGAGTTATGTTGGAAGGGAGTGGAGTGGCAAACAGTGGCGCCAGTCAGATGGTGATGTGGTGTACATATTCTAAAGGATCTTATAAGTCATTGGAAGGATTTTGTTTTTTATTCTGAGATAGGACACAATTACAGGATTTTGAGTAGAAGAGTAATATGTTTGAAAAGACTCATTCTGGCTATTGTATTCAAAATAGACAGTGGGAGGGCATGAGTATAATAAACAGTGTTGCCAGTTAGGAGACTATTGCTGTAATGTAAGTGAGAAATGGTGGTTTAGACAAGGTGAAATCATAAGAGATGGTAAGAAGTGACCTGAGCCACTATCATTTGCTGACAAATTAAATATGAGGTATGAGAGAGCGAAATCAAAGATTACGACAAAAGTTTTGAGCTGAGTATCTGCAAGAATGGAGTTACATCTGCTGAACTGCAGGAGGAACAGGTTTGAGTTGGGGGTTGGGAAGGGAAGAGTATTAGGAGCTCAGTGTGGATGTTTAAGTTTGAGATACCCATTAAATATCCAATAGGAAATGTGATGTTTGAAGTTAGTGCTAAAAGTGTGAGTTCTGATCTGTATATTTGAACACCATCAGCAAATAGTTTGTATAGCAATATACTGAATGAGATCTCCAAGAGAGTTAGTATAGAAAGAGAAGAAAAGAGGTCTAAGGACAAAACTCTGAGAAGGTACTCTCCCATTTAGAAATTGTGGAGACTGAGAAGAGCTAGCAAAATAGGAGTAACTCATTAGACTGCAGTAACCTGGAAGCCACTAAAAGAAAGCTTGTTAAGGAAAAGAGTGATCAACTATGTCAGATGCTGCTGACAGCTCAAATATGATGGAGACCGTGGTGGTTACGCTTGTGTGTCAACTTGGCTGGACCTGGTTGACTGGCTGAGCAGCTGAATTATTCCCCATGGTGAGATTGGTAATTAACTCCATGGTGTAATCTATTGGAGCAGCTAAGAAGCTGCTTTGGGTATGTGGCCTGCTTCCCATATATAAGAAACAGCTTTGGGAATGGTCTCTAGCTTATGGCATGCTTGAACCCTGCATGTAGCCAGGTCAGCGGCCTGCCATACTCTGCCAGCCTTGGGACTTTCAGTGGACTTGAATTAATGGCCTGCCGTATGGTTTGGTAACATCGGGCCTGTGCCATTTTATTTGTCGACCTTTGGCTTGTTAGCCTCAGGAGCCAGTAGCTTGCTGAGTGAAGAGATGCCTCTACTTCAGTGGGCTTGGGAGCAAGGGGCAGAGCTGAAGCCCAAGGTTGAGGGACTTTCACACAGCCCCTAGAGCCTGACACTTTGAACTCGGACTTCTAGCCTCCTGAACTTTAAGAGAATCTACTCCTGTTTGTTCAAGCCATCCCATTTGTGTTATATTCCTGTCAGAGTGGCAGTAGGTAACCAGAACAGGGACTGAAAATTATTACTGGATTTAGCAATGTGGAGGTCATTGATGACCTTGATAAGAATAATTTTATTGATGAGATGTTCAAAAAGCCTTTGTCAAAAAGGGCTCCAGAGAAAATTGGAAGGGTGAAAGTAGAGGTCCAAAACCAAGCCCAAACCCATTGCTATCATAATTCTGACTCCTAGTGACCTTACCTAGAACAGAGTAGAACTGTCCCAGAGTTTCCAAGAATGGAGTTTAGGGAAGCAAAAATTGTGTCATCTTTCTACCGTGGAGCGACTGGTGGGTTCAAACCACTGACATTTAGGTTAGCAGTCTTGTGCTTAACCACTGCACCACCAGTACTCCTTCCAGAAGTGGAGGTAGCAAGTATAAACTCTTTCAAGGAGGTTTGGTGTAAAGATGAGAGGAATGGGCTACTTGCTAGAGGGGAAGGAGAATTATTTTCTTTTTAGTGAATGGAGAAATAACACTTGTGTAGATAGAAATGATCTGCTATGTAGGGAAGCTTGATGATGCAGGAAAGAGAGTGAGAGAATCACTATAGGCAAGAGTGGATTGGGGTATGGTTTATAGTTGGAGGTAGCCTTGGCTAAGAGTACCAGCTGTTCTTCCATAGTATCAGAAGGTGGAGTAAATGGGCACAATTGCTATGTGGATGCAATGGTGAGAGTTTATTGAAGTTTCCTTCTGCTTGCTTGTTTTCTCAGAAATAGGCAGCAAGATCATCAAACAAGAAGAATAAGGATAAGGAAGTAGTAATAGAGGCTATGAGGAGAAGGAAGATATGAATAGTTACCTAGGAAAGTGTGAGTGAATCAACTGAGGAAATGTATTGTGATCACCACATATCATCAAATGCTCACTTGAGATTGTTGCTGCTGTTGTATGCTATCAAGTTGATCCTAACTCATGGTGACCCTATAGGGCAGAGGAATACTGCCCCACAGGGTTTCCTCGTCTGTAATCTTTATGGAAACTGATTGCCACATCTTTTTAGTGAACTTGAATTTAAAGTGAGACCAGTCAGCATTGTTTGTGTTCATTTGCATGGGTGCTGGCATGGAGTAAGTGGAGAGGAAGGTTTAAGCAGAGTTATGGTTTACCAACAAGGCAAGCATGATGAAGTGAAGTTAGGACAAGATAATTGTTCTGGTTACCTAGTGCTACTCTGACAAGAAATATACCACAAATGGGATGGCCTTAACAAACAGTTTATTCTTAGAATTTGGAGGCTTTAAGTCCCAGTTCAAAGTGCCAGGCTCTAGGGGCTGGGTGAAAGCCCCTCAACCTTGGGGTCCAGCTCTGCCTCCTGCTCCCAGCCCACTGGAGCAAGAGGCATTTCTTCACTCAGACAGCTGCTGGCTCCTGAGGCTGAGAAGCCCCAAGGTTGACAGGTAAAAAGGCACAGTCCTGATGTTACCAAACCACATGGCAGGCCATTAACTTAAGTCCATTTTAAGTTCCGAGGTCGGCAGAGCATGACAGGCTGTTCAACAAAGACATGGCTACATGCAGGGTCCAGGCGTGCCATAGGCTAGAGACCATTCCCAAAGCTCCTGCTTATATACGGGAAGCAGACCACATACCCAAAGGCAGCTACTCAGCTGCTCACAGTAGATTCCATCATGGAGTTGATTACCAGTCTCATCATGGGGAATACTACATCCAGCTGCCCAGTCACTCAACCAGACCTAGTCAAGTCGACACAAAAACTTAACTACCACAATAATGAAGGGTCTTTGCAGGATAATAATTATAATGGTTGATTAGGGAAAGCAGGACAAAGAGGTCAAGGCATGGGATGGGAAGATGAAGAACAGTGAAAGCTAGTAAGGTAGACAAAGGATGGTTGGAATTGAAGTACTATAGGAAATTATGTTTAATGATACCCAAGGCCTCTTCCAAGGTTCTCTGATTCTGAAGTATTGCCTGCAGTTTGGAGTTGTTAATATGATATTATGTAGCATCTAAGGCCTGTGTCAAATGTGCACTAGATAGCTTGGTATAGGAGATAAGGGCATTGATCATTTAGATTTGAATTTTGGCTTTGCTGTTGACTAGCTATGCAATCTTGGCTAAGTTAACCTCCCTGTGCCTTATCTTTCTCATCTGTAAAATAGGGATAATAAATGTAATATATCTTCACAGTGTTTTTATGAGGATTATATGAGTTTAATATCAGTAAACCTCTTAAAATTGAACCTGGCACCTGAAAAAAACAAAAAACAGACCCACTGCCATCAGATTAATTCTGACTCATAGTGATCCTTTAGGACAGAGCAGAATTGCCCCATAGGATTTCCAAGGCTATAAATCTTTACAGAAGCAGACTGCTACATCTTTCTTCCATAGAGTGGCTGGTGGGATTGAACCTCCAATCTTTTGGTTAACAGCCAAATGCTTTAAAAACTATGAAACCAGAGCTCTTTAGCACCTAAAAAGGACTGTTTAAATGCTGCTGCAGCTGCTGCTGTTGGTGGCGGGATTAGATACTGAATTGCTCCTAGTGCTTTTTCCTTCCTCCCCACACTGGTATCTGAGCTGCTGCACAGTGTTGATACCATCCAGCAAATGAATAAAATTCAGTATGTTTATTTTTCATTTCAAGGAATATAGATGAATGTATTTATAATAGACAATGACATTTACAATAAATATTTGGCGTTTTGTTTGAAGTGAAGGCAAGAGGGCTGTTTGAAGAGGAATGTAACTTTTCTGACTTTTCATGCTGTTCTGTTTTGAATAATAGCAGAAAGCAGAGAAAGGCATTCTGAATCATCTGACTGGATGAAGACCGTCCCAAGTTACAACCAAACAAATAGCTCCATGGACTTTAGAAATTACATGATGAGAGATGAGAATCTGGAACCACTGCCCAAAAACTGGGAAATGGCCTACACAGATGCGGGGATGATCTATTTTATTGAGTAAGCAAACGTTTGTATCTCTTCCAGCATGCCCTGTCACCAGGAGACATGTCTTAAAGTTGTTTTTACTTTGTTTTGGATGTATGTGTATTTCATAAGGCTTCCATTCTTTTTTCTTTCTTTACAGATATTTTTCATACAAGTTATAGTTAATTCTTAATCTGGTTATTTCTCTGGGTGCCATTTCACTGTTATTTGTCTTACATAGAGGAATAGTGTATTTGACCTCTGGTTTTGTGAAAGCACAGGTTGTTATCATCACTAATAATGAAAAATGTAAAGAATAAAGGGTTATTACTTTGGGATTTTTTTCCCCCTTTTTGTTAGATTGTCCAGCCTAAGGAGCATTTCAAGAACTACCATCATTTAGGGGGTAGGATATTTATTATTGGAGCTAAATACTTTCAGTCCAAGAGTTTGGGTTTTATGTATTCAGTCAATATAGTTAAATAATATGGGAGGAACATATCACTGATCCTCAGAGTGATTTGTACAATATAAAGTCACAAAAAGATAAAACTATTTTTGTGGAAAGCACTATTAACATATTATTTATAGAGATATTGAAGGCCACATGTATTAGACTAACCTAAAATTTTATGTTGTTTACACCAGAGAAGAATAATATGTAAATAATTCACTGGAAATCTCAGTATGAAAATTTTCTATGTTCTTATGCAGCGATAATATTAACATAGGTCTTTGTAGGCTTTGGCTATTAAGTTTTAGGTATAGTCCCTATGGACATTTATTTATCTTGGGAATATTGGGTAAAATCCTAGGAGATTGGCCACATCTGCTAATTTAGGAGTATAATTTTGACTCAGTGAAACCAGTGTTAAGCTTTTCTCAAGTAGGAATTTTGAGTTTGATTTATCAAGGTATTTCCATGATTTTTATTTTCTAACAGTCTGCTTGCCCCTAGCCATCTCTGGAGTCCTAATCTCTTTTATTTTGCTAAAACTCACTTAACTAGTTTAGTTTGGGAAGATTATCTGACAGTATGCATAACAGACTTTCTGGAAATATTTCAATTTCTCCCAGAGTGGTTTTCCATCTTTCAACTTGAAAAAAGTACTTACACTATATTCTACCAACCATTGTCATATTTACGGTAAAGTATGAGAAATGGCTGCATACCTCTATAAGTACTTCAGGGGTTAGAAAAGTTATAGATGATATGATTAATTCCCTGAAGTCATTAGCTTCATTACCTTAGAGTGGTTAAGGTAGAGATTAGTGAGATTATCTCACATTAAAGGCAACAAGGAAAGCTAATTTGTTCAAATAGTTATTTATATACTACTTTGGTAATAACTTTACTTTTATGTTTGTTTTGTTTTTGCTTTTCCATGATCTTTTCTTTCTTCAGTATCCTCATACTTTAGATATTTAACCTAACACGGCCTGTCTTCTCATGAACGTGATTATTTTGTTTTAGGATTAGTATCTATTGCTTGATGACCTGCCTGAAGCTAGCTGACCTATAATAATTAAATTCAACAGAAATTGTTCTTAAGAAGCATTTTTGGCTTACTTACATAAAACAGAGGGTGTTTAATTCTCTTTGTTTTACTTTTTTCTTTTCTATCAAATGTATGATGCATGCTGACAAAAACTTCATTTTGTAGAGTCAAGCTTAATTCTTCCCATTATTTTCAGTTACGTGTTGCAGAAGCAGCCACTTCAAAACTTTTTTTTTTTTTTTTTTGGAAGAAGCTTCTTTAAAATAATTCTTTGTAAGGGCAGAGGCACTGTCTGTTTGTTCATCTCTTAATCTCCAAGCCCCAGCATAGGCAGTGCATATGATTAAAAAAAAAAAAAAGTTGCCACGCAGTCGACTCCGATTCCTGGTAACCCCATGTGTTTCAGTGTAGAACTAACTGCTCCATAGGGTTTTCAAGGCTGTGACCTTTCAGAAGCAGATTGCCAGGACATTTTTCCCAGGTGCCTCTGTGTGGGTTCAAACCACCAATTTTTTCAGTTAATAGTTAAATGCTTAACCTTTTGCACCACCCAGGGACTTCCTTAGGAGCTCTGGTGGTGTAGTGCCTAAGGCACTTGATTGCTAACCAAATGGCTGGCGGTTCGAGCCCACCAGCCACTCCTTGGAAGGAAGGTTGGGCAGTCTACTTCTGTAGTGATACTGCCTCAGAAACCCAAGGAGGGGTCGCTATGACTCAGGTTTGACTCAACAGCACATAATAACGACAACAGGGACTTCCTTTACACATCTTTGGCACTGAATAAATATGGTGGTTTTCTTTTCCTTTCGTTTTTGAGGGACACATGAAGGAATCCAGTAAACAAACAAATGAGGGTTTTAATGCAGGTTTTTCAGTGAGATAATGCATTGTATGTGGCTATGTGCCCACCCCTTGAAACATTTTTGACTGCTTACTTAAATAAGTGTCTGTTATTCTGTACTTGGCATTTTATCCCTTCTTTTGAGTCTTCATTCTAAAATTAGTGCCTCTTTGAGCATTACCTTTACTCTATGGCAGAACTGAGAACAATAAGATGATTGAATCTGAGGTATACAAAGGGAGCCTGTAGGAGATAAATGTTCAGATGTCACATACCTTTTTAGTCACTTTTAATCTTTGCCTTTGAAATACTTTTTACTGTTTCTAATTGAGATCTTTATTCTACAGCCACAATACCAAGACAACCACCTGGTTGGATCCCCGCCTTTGTAAGAAAGCCAAAGCCCCTGAAGACTGTGAAGATGGAGGTAGAAATTCAGAACTTTCTGTACTATACGTATTCTCTTAATCCCTTCTTGCTGTTCTTGCTTAGACAGTGAGTTTCTAAATCCAAACAAACCATAATGTGCATATGCACATAAACAGTCAGTGGATATCATAATCAACTAACTATGGGAACTAAGCCTTTGCATCTAATTTATAAGAGAGATTTCATTTCTCTCCTTCTGCATATTGTTGTTGTTGTTGTTAGGTGCCATCGAGTTGACCGTGACTCATAGCCCTTGGGTTTCCGAGGCAGTATCACTATGGAAGTAGGATTGCCCAACCTTCCTTCCGAGGAGTGGCCGGTGGGTTTGAACCGCCAGCCTTCTGGTTAGCAGTCAAGTGCTTTAGCCATTATGCTACCAGAGCTCTGCATATTATCTAATTAAATTCTTTTTTTAATTATTATTTTTAAAAACCCATCTTAATAAAAATAAATTTAGCCATTCTTTGATACATGTTCTAAAGAAAAACTTTAAAAATTCCAAATGTTTTAATACATGAGGCACATTTTTAATCAAGGGGTAGCCTCATGCCTGTTGAACCTTCAAAATATATATTTATTATACTCTAGGATAGAGATGCAGTATCTGTAACTAATTTTTGGCGATTTAGTGCATCAGTAGAAAATTAATGAATGTCTCTAATATACGCACACATAAAAAAAATTGCTGCTTTGTGGAAAAGAATTATTCTCTAAGGACCATCAGGTTCTGTTTAATATTATAGTCTTACAAATAAGTATAGAAAATTTTTTGCTACACTTTCTTCAACGTAGGCACAGATTAATGAAAACTTGCATTTGTTTTTAGTCACTCATCAATCATTTTGGTAAGAAAAACTGGCTTAGAATGAGTTTTAAGATAGACATTCTTTTTTTATTTTAATTGTGATTTGGGAGAAAGTTTACAGAGCAAATTCACTTTCCATACAGCAGTTCACATACACTTTGTCTCATGACATTGACTACAGTTTACCACAATGCAACAGCTCCCCTCCCACTTCCTCCTGATAGTTAACCAGGTCCATCCCTCTGGTAGCATAGTGGCTAAGACACTTGCCTGCTAACTAGACGGCTGGCGGTTC